TGGCGAACCACTCCAGTGCCTTTACCAAGGAAACCTGGTAGACAGTGTTGGTGTGCTGTGGTCCATGGGGTCACAAAGAATTGGATATAGCTCAACAACAAGGTCCCTTCTAGCTCTAAATCTGTGACTTTATGAGATAGTTTGATAGTCTAGGCTTAAAGATCAATTAAAATACCAAGAACCGCTTCATAAAATTAGATAAAGTGATATCCAAATGTACACGAAAAACAAAGGGACGAGAAAAGCAAAAGAAATTTCCATAAGGAAAGGAGGAGACTTGCATCACTGACTCCTATGATCTAAGACAGTAAATTCCATATGGATCAACGTCCTAAAGTACAAGGCAGCCTGAGTTAACAGAAAGTCCGTAAACCCAACTACTTGAATTTGGGCAAATCAATTTACCACTATGGGTCTGTTTTGCCAACGAATGATGAGACGAGCAACCACAAAGAAAGGATTGTTATAAAATTTAATATACCCCTGTGGTTGATGCTAAAGATCTATTGAAGGCTCAAAACCAGTAAAGAAGAACATTTCAGCTCCCTGTCTTTTTAACGTCTGTCTTAAAAACAAAAAAGCATAAATTTTCCATATGACTAACCAAGGTCAACTCTTCCAGCTGTTGAGAGGACTTTCATCCAAAGGTTTATTTCTCTGGCCAAAAAATCAAAAACCACAATTCTTCCTCAAAGTATATTACTTTACTCTCTACTTAGTGATAATATGTGAGGACTGCTCTGTCAGAATTTCATACCCTTGGAAGCCTCAGAAATTGGCCTCAATTTCTTTCCAACAAAAGGCACCTATAAAATGCCACTGTGATGTAGACCTTTCACTTTTTTTATCATGTACCCCATCAATAAAAACCAATTATATAAATAGATTTATTTTATTTAATAATACCCAAAACCTTTTTTACTCTTACTAAAAAAGTAATATGAATGAACATGTTTCATTGATTTGAAAATCTTGGTTGAGTACATCACAATACAGCAATTCAAAGGCCTAGTTCTAAATTCAGTTTATTTTGATATTTGGTTTTAATGGTCATCATAGATGAAAAAAATACCTCGCAAATATTGTTGTTATTGTTTAGTCATTTTCAGTCTTGTCTGACTTTTCATGACCGCAAAAAAAGTTTTGCGATTTTCTTGGCAGAGATACTGGAGTAGTTTGCCATTTCCTTCTCTAGCTCATTTTACAGATGAGGAAACTGAGGCAAACAAGGTTAAGTAATTTGCCTAGGGTCACACAGCTCGGAAGTGTCTGAGGCCAGATGTGAACTCAGGTCTTCCTGACTCCAGGCCCAGAGCTCTATCCATTGTGCCCACCTAACTGCCTAACTCACAGACAGTCATAAATCCAAATGGAAAATGTTGGCTATACTTACGAAATCATGAAACTCATTTTTCAGTCCCATCCACCTATCATGCACAAGTTTTTGTTGAAATTCAGCCAATAAATTTCCATCTTCCCTGATTGGAGGGGAGGGGCAGCTAAGTGGTGAAATGGATAGAATGCTGGGCCCAGGGGTAGCTAGGTGACCCAGTGGATAGAGCACCGGCCCCCAACTCAGGAGGACCTGAGTTCAAATCCAGCCTCAGACCAAACATTGACACTTACTTAGCTGTGTGACTCTGGGTAAGTCATTTGCCTTTTGAAAAAAAAAAGAAGAAGAAGAAGAATGCTAGGCCCAGAGGCAGGAAGACCAACATTTACTAGCTATGTGACCTCGGGCAAGTCACTTAACCCCTTTTTACCTCAGTTTCCTTATGTGCAAAAAGGGGATAATAATAATAATAATAACACCTACCTCCCAGAACTGTTTTGAAGATCAAATAATAATTGTAAAGTGCTTAGCACAGTGCCTGGTACATAGTAAGTACTGTATAAATATTAGCTATCGTTATTACTTATTATTGTTGGTGAGGAGGGGGATTTGTCTCTAGAAGTCAGATCCCAGGTCTTAAGAGTAGCTGTTCCAGGTGAGAAAAAGGAGTAAAGTGAAAAGACAGCTGGTCAGATGCATGGGGAAGCCCTAGCTTTCTGGTGGTAGGAGGGTGTCCAGTGGGTCAGTGGGTAGGAAGAATCTTGGGAGCAGGACTGCAGATCGGTGGGAATTCTTCTAAGGCCACCCACAGCAGCAGCTGCCACCACCACTCCCCTCTTGCTAGCTGCTGCTGCCTGGTCCTAGATCCTCCACGGGCCTGCTCTGGTGTGCCTGCTCCTCTCAGATGCTATTTGCTGCAGCTCCTCCAGAACTTGCTCAAATCTTCCTCGTTCTCCTTTGTGGAGGTGGGAGGGAAGGGGAGATGAAAGCCTGGGTGGAAATCAAGAAGTCCATATTCTCAGGAAGCAGCTCTCCCTTCATGGGCCAGCCTGGCCAGCTGGGACAATGAAGAGCCCTTTTCACATCAGGATCCCATGAAGCAGGCTTTGGTCAGTCGTTGGTTATTATACCAAACATCTTATCTGTCCTCTTTGAGTGCAAGGCTCCTGGAAGGGTCTGGTCCCTGCTCCAAAGGAAGCAAGACCTGCCTCTCTGTTGCATCCTGCATGCCTGTTCTAGATCAGGCCTGGCTGAGTCCAGTCCAGTGATGCAGGCTCAGGATACAGTGAAAACTTCACGGACCATCAAACAGAAAAACAATAACCTTATTTATAATGGAGGATTGTACAGCTAGGAGGTACAATGGATAGAGTGCTGGGCCTGGAATCAGGAAGACTCATCTTTCTGAGTTCAAATCTGGCCTCCGACACTTACTAGCTGTGTGACCCTGGGCAAGTCATATAACCTTGTTTGCCTCAGTTTCCTCGTCTGTAAAATGAGCTGGAGAAGGAAATGGCAAACCACTCTAGTAGCTTTGCCAAGAAAACCCCAAATGGGTCACAAAAAGTCAGACACAACTGAAACGACTGAACAACCTTATAAAAGATTAAAAAGGACATTGTTATTAGAATTAGGCACTGCTCCCCTTCTACCTCCACATTTTCCAGGGCAGCACTCATAGGTCAGAAAGACAGCCTGTAGGGCAGTGGGAATACCTCCAAAATCAGGAATATCAATTCCCCACAGACTGGGCTTTTTATATCTATATTCCCACAGATGGACAAAATCTAAAAAACACCTTGCTTGCCTTCTTAGAGGGAAATTATCTGGCCTATACTATGTAACCAGAGGTCCAAGCGTTCTATCCCCTTGATTTCCAAGGGTCAGGAGGAGGTTCACAAGAACTCTATCCACTATATACACATCGCATTCATCCCACATTGAGAAAGCAGGGTTTGCCTGTCCCTGTTGTAGTCTGAGTACTCTGGGGGTTTAGATAGTGTGCAGAGTGGGCCAAGGGATGTATAAGGTATACACTCCTTATGTCGTGGGGAATGGAGAGAAAGGACAGGAGCATATGAGGATTGGGCAGAGAATGACCACCTGTCTCACTGCCTGCTTGTCAGGGAACCTCAAATGTGCTTAATCATCTACCACTTAATCACGCACTGGGCTCAGGCAGGGGGATGGAAGCAACTCCAAGCTCAGCAAACAGTTGTTCTCTCATTTCTAACATTTTCTTCATACACCACCAGGGATCATTTTTTGTATCTCTAGATTGTGCACTATTAATCTTGTTAGTATAAATGAATGGGAAATGTTCTATTTGTGTCTGATACACATTAATCAACTTTTAATTAGAAAAGACATGCCTTTAGATTGCATATGTATAACCCATATCAAATTGCTTGCTATCTTGGGAAGGGGGAATGAGGGAGGGAGAAAAATTTCGAACTCAAAATCTCATAAAAAGTGAATGTTGAGAACTATATTTGCATGTAATTGAAAAAATAAAATACCATTTACACTTAAAAAAAAAGACATGCCTTTGCTTAAAGGATACATACTTGTAACCCTATGATGGGCTATAGAAATCACAGAAATAGATATGGTGGCTCATAGGATATTTTCTTTCCAGAGTCAGTCCATTTTCTATTAGACATATAAACTCTAATGCCACAATGAAAACAAATCTGGTTTTGATAAGCAAGATGGCATAATAGAGTAGGGTAGGAAGAGTAGGGTAATTGGAATCAGGAGACCAGTCCCAAACTTTTAGCATTTCCTAACTATGTGACTCTGGACAAATCATTTAATTTCTCTATACTTCTATTTCCTCATCTACAAAATGGGGATGATAATACCTGCACTGCCTACTCCACAGGACTGATTTAAGAAAAGTACTTTGAGGAGCAGCTAGGTGGTGCAGTGGATACAGCACCAGCCCTGAAGTCAGGAGGACCTGAGTTCAAATCTGGCCTCAGACCAAACACTTGACACGTACTAGCTGTATGACCCTGGGCAAGTCACTTAACCCCAATTGCCTTTAAAAAAAAAAAAAGGGAAAGTACTTTATAAGGTGTAAAACGCAACATAAATGTGACATTATTATAATGAGTAATAATCTGCACAACTTTTTTTCTAATATAGCTAAGCCTAGATAGATAAGGCCATGTGTATTTATACAAAGTAGCAGCCACTGAAAATAAGCCAGTTTCCCCACCATAACTTTTCTTGCCATTTCGTGGAATTTCATATGTGCACCAATCTTTTTTAAAAGTGACCTTTCCCAATCACCCACCACAATTCCAGAAGTACCATGATGAAACATGCTACCCTTCTCCGGACAAGAGGTCATGGGCTCAGAATGCAGATTCAGACATATCTTTTGGACATGGCTGATTCCGGAACTGGTTTTGCTTGACTATGCATATTTATTAGAAAGATTCTGTTTTTATTTTCCTCCCAATTGGGGGGGGGGTGAGTAGAAAGGAGAGAAAGTAGATTTTTGTTCATTGAAAAGAAATTTTAAGGATGTGACTTTTCCTACTCTTGTTTTTCTCCTCAATCATTCCCTTAGGACTCTTGGCATACTTATTCCTTATGCCTCAGCCTCAGATTTTCAAATTGCTTACTGTTCCTCTCTTTCACCTTTCTTCTCTTTCAGTCCTCAAGGAAGTTTTTTCCCATTACGTTCTTTGGAGCCATCACCTGGATAGCCATTTTCTCTTACTTGATGGTCTGGTGGGCACATCAGGTAAGATCGCCTTTGATTACCTGCCCCTTCATCCATTTCCTGCTTCTGGGTCTAGACTGTAGAGGTTGTCCTCATGGATATAGGATGGCACAAGCTACATATCCTGCCTTCTATTTGCCTGCGGCCTCAAGACCACAGGTCCCCCATCTCTGGCCTAGGCTGTTGAAGTTTCCATTTAATGGAAATAAAGTTTATTGTCCATGTTCATAGTAGAAGGGAATTTCAAATTTCATCTAGAGCAGATAAACCTAGGGTCTGTAACTTTTTTTTAACATATATTTTGATAACTGTATTTCAACATAATTGGTTTCCTTTGTAATCGTATCTAATTTATTTTATGCTTTTAAAAACATTCTGGAAAGGGTCCTATAGGCTTTGCCAGATGGCCAAGGGATCCATGACACTAAAATAAGTTAGGAACCCCTGAGTTAGAGGGTAATAAAAATAAAGATATCATTTTTCCCATCTAAGTTCATAGATACCCAGCAATCTATCCATGGATCCTTTGGTGGACCCAAGTTAAGAACCCATGGTCTAGAATTAGGTACAGTTAATTTTGTGAAAGAAACACACGTTCTAGAATACTCTGTTATGTGTTACGTTACTTGTGTCTGTTCTAAATGGAAGGAGGCCACTCTGCTGCTCAATATCACAGGGAAATTTGCGAGAGATGATAATTGTATTAATGACTCCAGTTTATATAGCACTTGACTATTAACAAAGAAAAGACTTTTTTTTTAACCATAGACAGAAGCTGTGAGCAAATCTGAGAAAAGGCGGGAGACAGGCTGTGAAGAATTGGAGCTGGTAGAATTATAAGGAGATGCCTTTGGGGTGTCCAAAGATGACCCAGACACAAATCAGTTCTTGCCTTTAAATAACGGGGGGGGGGGGGAAAGCCATACCTATAACAACATAGAATGTTAGAGAAGGAAGGGAACTTAGAGGTCATCTAATCCAACATCCTCATTCAACAGATGAGGAAACTGAGACCCAGAAAGGAAAGCTAACTCAACCAAGGTCACAGCTGATGACACAAAATCCAGACTCTTCATGCCCTATTCTTGCTTGTTACTGAGACTGTGAAAGATATTTTGAGATAGAGCTCTAACCCTTCAAATATATTCCCATTCTGAAAATGGAATTGAGTTTTAGTCACTTAGTTTATGAGACATCTCTTATTCTGAACTTTTTCCTCCTGTTCAGTTTTTATTTTAATAAGTAACCATTTTGTGAAATGTTTTACGTCCAGATTATACTTTAACCCTGCAATAAAGAGCATGGTAACCTCTAAAGTCTTTTCATCTATAAATCCATTATTCTCCTCCATGAAGTCTTCCCAAAGAAAGCCAAACCTTCTCTCGTGTCTTTAGCATTTATCGTTCTATTGCACAATTAGGGCCTTATCGTCTGATTGCCTGTACTATGCAATTTAGTTCCTTCTTCGATTGGCTCTGGGGTCCCATCAATGTAGGTGATCCCTCCAAGCAAACAAGCTACAACCCATCCACACCTTACCATACCATGCCATTCTTGTCCATGTCCTCTCAAGAAATCCTGTGCTGTGAGTTTCATCTGGATCTTCCAGCATTCCATACTCATGCCACACTCAGATTATGCATCTGTTATCCCTTGTTCTCATTATATGATCCCATGCAGTGCCAATAGAGGATTCTAATAAACCAGCTCACTAGACTGCCCATCATTTTTGTATCAGTTTAAGCAATGAGATTTTTCATCTATTTTGCTTTTCCTGTATAGACTGTCAGGACTATCATTTTTAAGTGACTATAATCTCATTCAAATCTGGCCTCAGACACTTCCTAGCTGCATGACTCTGGGCAAGTCACTTAAGCTGATTCACCTCAGTTTCCTCATCTGTAAATTGAGCTGGAGGAGGAGATGGCAAACCACTCCAGTATCTTTGCTAAGAAAACCCCAAATGGGGTCACGAAGAGTTGGACACAATTAATCTCACTGAGGAAGCCCTGTAGTACTCTTAGACTTTATGCAATCAACATAATATCTGTTGGCCGGAGCATCTCATGGGCCTAAACATATGCACAGAATTCTTATTCCACTTCTACTTTGTGTAGACATCTCTCACAATGGTAGCAAACACCTTTGGCACATATGTGTACACACACAAACACACTCACACACACACATATATGTACACACTTGCTATATTGATATACAGATAGACATTTTATCAAATTAAAAGAAAGGATAAAGATAAGATACTTTTATAATTATAGCTGCTCCAAACTGTCTTTTTTTTTTAATTGATATCAAGATGTCAACAGATATCAGGAAATGGATACAGCTAAACACAATGACACTGATTATCTCCATTTCTTGTAAAAGTTTAAATGCTATAAAGGAGTCACTACAACAAGGAAACCAAAAGAACCCATAAAAGTCCTCGACCTACAGACATTTGATATACCTGACAAGGAGCTAGTCATAGAAACCAAGGACATCACTGGTTTAGAGTACAACCTTATTGACAAAACATTACAGAGAAGGGAGATGGAATAATAAATACAAACAGAAAGCAGTGTTTCCTTCACAAAAGAGTGGAGAGCAGCAGAAGGGAAAAGGAGTCTTCAGAAAACTTCATATAAGACTCCATTAAGCCCAATCGTATTACGAGTACTTAAAGATTAAAGCAAGAGGGTGACAAATAGAAGCAAAATGGAACTGTAACCATTTGTTCTCATTGTCAATGGCAGAGGAACTGTCACATTTGGCCTCTCAGGCCTCAGTACTCAATGTGCTGCATGACGTTGTTTAAATGGCTCTTGAGAAAATGAAGTTTGGAAATGGAGCTAATCCAAGCACAAAAGAAATCCATGTTGAAGGTGGTGCAGTTCTGAAAGCACTGAGAGATTAATTGGCAAGATATCTCATAGGAGGAAAAAAAACTGAGAATTTTCTTTGATTTATGTATTTAAAGGTGGAGTACTTTAAAATGCATCTGTGCTTCCTTTGCTTTACATAATCTCAAGGCAAGATCTTAACACTTCAAAATAAACCAAATGGGATTTAATGAAAACTCAAAAGCTGAAGAAAAATATAACATTAGTAAAATGCACTGCAGAAAAACCACTGAGTATTAAGCATAATGTACTAAGCCCTCCAACAAGAGGATAAAAAAGCAATTTTTGATTGCTACTAATAGGCTTCTGACTACTAGTTGTCCTTCGCTTCAGCTGTCTTATTTTCCTCTGTATTGGCAAGCATCATTGGTCTGCCTAAGAAATCCTCTTTCTCATAACAGCCATTATTTCCAGAATCCCATGAAGACATTTCTTGCAAATACCTTTCAGAAAAATATTTCTTCTGAAGAATGCTTTTCAGCCTACCCACTTTCAAAATAAATGGAATGCTTGTCATATTTTTGTGGTGAACAACACCACAAAGAAAACCTAAGCATATTTTATTTTTTTCTTATAATCAATCACAGAAAACAGGTGTTTAGTAGTTTAACAGTAACTGCCCTGCCCTTCCTCCTCCCACCCCTACTGCCTGAAAACCATGCATGTTACATTTCATCCCTCGCCCAGGGTTCTACTCTACCTTTAAGGTGGTTGGAGGATGTCTGCATTCCCTGCCAATAGTATTAGACCCTGCTGATGGTGTCTCCCCATTTGTAGTTATCTAAGCACTCCAATTCCATTTTACCACTTAATAGTCAGATTTACTTTTATATAAGAATATTTTCTTCAAATATATAGCAAGAGAAAACATATAAACATTCCTACCCCTAGTACCTAGAGGCATGATCCCCTCCTGTTCCACCTTATACCCTGGGAAAGGAAGAGGATTTGGTTCACAGTTTAGCACAGTCTCATCAAATTTCAAGTCCAAAGGCCACCTTAGGTTCCTGTCCCAGGGCAGCCTGTCTTCTCAGGACTTCCCTGCTGGGGTGGCTAGCTGCACATCCAGCCTGGTATCCTGGCTCTAAGGTTGTCATGGCTCAAATCTGGATCTCTAAGGGATCCCACCACCTGTTCCTAGAAATGAAAAGGACAAATGAAACAAAACAAAGCAAAACCCCAAGCCTGTTTTTTAGAGTTATGAGAAACAGGAAAGGGAAGTTAGCCTTTCCCATCCCACCACTTCAATTCATGATGCCCTTGCTGTGGAAGAACTTGGACCTCTACCTTTCTCAACATCAAGAGAAAGAAGAGCATGATTGTTCTAGTTTCATAATTTTAAAGATGAAATCTGTTCTGGCTATGTAGCCAATGGAAAGAGCTTACTCCCATAAAAACAGTAATGAATTGTAGAATAATTTCTCTTAGAAATATATCCTGGTATTTTCAGCATGACTACCTCTAAAGCCTCAGTTATATTTAAAACCCAACTTCCATCCAATTTCTACCTCTTTCTTTTTCTTCTCTCCTCTCCACAATGACCACATTGCAGAAATCTTTTTCCCTTGCCATGATGATTATGAAAAAGCTAAGAAATTAATTTTTGTAAGCAAAAGTTTCACCTTCAAATGATGCACAAAAATAATCTCTTCACACACACACACACACACACACACACACACACACACACACACACACCCCACTCTCTAGTTCTGAAACAGTAATGGCTGAACCAGATGATTTTATGGGAGTTTTATCAGCCCTGATTTTACCAAAATACAAGCAATTTGAATAATCCAATTCCTCAAAAATTGTTTGCAGAAAATATTGCTCTTATTAAAATTCTTTACATATTTGTTGGGCCTCCCTTCTAAAATTTCATTCAATATTTAGTTTCCTTTTGTTAAATTACTAATTTTATGAGGAATGGAAATCTGTGGCAAAAACTGCCACTTGTATAAGTGGGAGAAAATTAATTCTAAGAATCAGGAAAGTTTTATGCTTCTTTTGCCACCCCATCACCACCACCCCATCATAATATTGTATTTTTGCTATTACTTCTTTCATTGTTGATCTGATCCAAACAAGGAGAGGTGGCATGATTTAGTTATAAGAACT